TAGAACTTGTAATGCTAATTATTCTTGCCTTTATTTCTCCTTCACATCTCCCATTCATGATTCAAGGACTTTCTTTTCCCCTTAGAGACAAGAGTTATGCAATTTGGGAGTCTTTTAGATAGACCCACTGAAGGGGTACTCCAATTGCCTCACCTTGCGTCCTCGTTCAGTATGGAAGAAGCCAGAGTGGTCTGTGTCCCTATTCCCTATTGGCAACTTGGGTAACCCCTTCAGAGGATGGCGTGATAAGAATAGGAGGTAGGAATTGGCTAGGCAGTTAGGGTAAAAAGACCCGAAAGAAATGTAGCCAGTTTCTTGGCTAAAAGTTAAAATGTCCTTGGGCCTGTTAGCAACATACTCTGTGTCAAGGCCAAAAATGTCCAAAGTATTTGGGACCTTGTATCTAATCCTTAAAAGATTTTAGGGTTACCTCTTCAGAAGGGGGAATGTTGGAGGGGAGGGAGTGGGCATGGATTTGATCAAAACACCTTATATGTATGTATGAAATTCTCAAAGTTTTTGTAAAAATTATAAACAAAAAAAGATGATTAAGCAGTGGTCCAGTAGAGAGAAGCTGCCGTGAATTACTCTGCAGAAGAAGTTTATTAGGAGAGTTATTAGCATCAGGCCACAGCAGCCATGACAGGACCCTGGCTGGAGTGTGATCTTCCAGCTCCAAAACACAAGGGAAGTTTCTTGCTCTTATAGGTTATTGTTGGGTTTTTAACAAATCATTTATACATGTAACATTAAAAGGTAGGGAGGGGAAAATTATGTAGAAGAAACATTTGTTTTTCTTACTGAAATTAAGACTATAAATCAGAAGTACATTCTGCTAAGACACAATTTATACTATAATAATCACTAAGGAAATAAAAGTTGAAAAATCATTGAAAAAATCCTAACTCAGCAATGCAGCTAGACACTTGATATTTCTTTCTCCTTGTGACTACGTGGTTGACTGGTCCTGTGGCTCACGGACGCTGTCTGGCATCATGGGGAAGACTGAACCACCTGTTACTGAGGAGATCAGAATTTAAAATTTGAGGTTTAGTTTCCACTGAACACATATTTCTTTTAGTTCATTATAAAACAGAAAAAAAAATCACATGTGGAACTGTAAGTCTGTGAAAGGACAGAAAAATACCATGTCATCGGTAATCATTAAGTACTACACTGGCTAAACTAATGAGACTAATATAGCCTTTCTAACAATTTTGCAGAGAAAAAAATTGGCCTAACTTCTTGTTTGCAAAGGAGTTTCATATGCTGTCATGAAAACCTCTATTTCATCAGGACAAAGAACAATTATGAGGGATTTGTCCTGATCAAATGTAGCAAGTAAAATAACTCCAGTGCTAGTGTGCAGTATCTGTTAGAAAATCCTTATTTTACTCAGGGCTCAATTTTTCTTTCTCTTCCTCATAGTCCTCAAATAAATGGGAAGGGAAAAGAACAGGCTGAGGATAGCCTCACATAGCCCAGGAAAGGAAGTCAAAGCAAACTGGGAGGAGGGAGGTGGGAGGAGGGAGGAGCTGAGGCCCTTTGTCATCTGACAATCAGGATGGCTCCTGTGCATGTCAGACAGGTCTGTCTTAGACTTGGCTGCCATTTTCACCAATGAGAAGCGAGGATCTAAAATTGAAGGTAGAGTTGCAAAGACTGGGTGCTTTGGACTCAACCTGTTCTCCCAAGCTTTGGTTTCACTGTTTTAAACTGGGGGCAAAACAAAACCAAAACCAAAAACAAAACCAACCAACCAACCGAACAGAAACACGCTAAGGGCATCATTGTGAAGATCACAGCTTCAGTTGTTCATCATTTATCAGATGGAAGGTAAACAGGGTTAAGACTATCTGGAACATATTTCATACAACAAAGAGGAGAGGAGAGGGTCCCCCCTCCACGTTTCAGTCTAAACACGTGTGATGGTTAACCTTGATTGTCACCATGGCAACAAACCTTTGGCCATGCTTATGAAGGACTTTTCTAAATTAGGTTAATTGAAGTGGGAAGACGTACCCTAAATGTGGGCAGCACAGGATTGAAAAAAAAGAGAAAGCTAGCAGAGCACGGCATTGCTCGCTCTGCTTCCTGACTGTGACACAATGTGACCAGCTGCCTCACCCTCCACACTTCCCTGCCATGAAGGACTGTGTCCTCAAACTGTGAGCGAAACAAACCTTCCCTTCCTTAAGTTGCTTTTGTTAGTATTTGATTTCAGCAACAAGACGACTAATCTCTTCAATTACTGATGCCGTCATAGCTATTGTTTTATTTTTGCTGGGTGGTGGTCCTCCATCTCACAGGAGATGAGATCATCCTGTGATCAGGGATCCCATGTACCAGGCTATCAACCCTCTGTTTCTGCCCGAAGCTGTATGGCCACAGATGCTGTCTGCTTTTGTTAGTATTTGATTTCAGCAACAAGACGACTAATTTCTTCAATTACTGATGCTGTCATAGCTATTGTTTTATTTTTGCTGGGTGGTGGTCCTCCATCTCACAGGAGATGAGATCATCCTGTGATCAGGGATCCCATGTACCAGGCTATCAACCCTCTGTTTCTGCCCGAAGCTGTATGGCCACAGATGCTGTCTGCTTGTGCTTGTGCAGAGGCATAAAAAACAGAAGATGATCCACCAGTGGCTTACTACTACTAGAGTTTCACTAGGTGCCAAGAGGAACGGAATGCAATGCCATTGGAACTGGCAGAGTCCATGGCTCAGAGATGATTTGGGGATTTCTTTAGGTCTGAAAGGAGAGTCCGAGGAGGAAGGTGTGACAGCCTTCCTCTGCCTGCGCTTGTGTATATAACTCAACGCTGTAACAGTAGAGCCAGTCAGAGAGGAAACTTGTTAGAAATGGATGGAATATGCCAGCATGGAGCAAGCCTGGGTTTGGGACAACAGCAAGGTGGAAGAACTTTGGAACCACAGAAGGACCATTTCATCATAGACAATTGAGAAGTAACATGCAAATTACAGGTCTGTTTACACCTCGCTTTTCTACTTATTTAAAAACCCAGAGGGTGAGTTTGAATACAGTTTTTCATCTTTGTGTGTTATTCTTGGGAACTCCTAATAGATGGGAGAAGGTGAAGAACAGGGCAGAGTGGAATCTAGCATAAGACTATTGAAGTTACCTTCATGAAGTGCCTTAATGTGTCTAGAAGGTGCCATGTACACCATTATCATTGGCTAATACTCTCAAAAGTTTACCCTAACTTGCTTGGGTCTTTTTTTTTTTTTGGTCTTTTTGAGACAGGGTCTCCCTGCAGCCCCAGCTGTCCTGGAAGTCACTATGTAGACCAGGCTGGCCTTGACCTCACAGAGATCTGCCTGCCTCTGCCTCCTGATTGCTCGGATTAAAGGTGTGTGCCACCACACCCAGCATGAGTCTTATTTTTATTGCATTCTATTTCTAGCTGCTTTAACAACTTTTTGAATTTTAACAATCCATTGAACGAAATCTATTTAAACTCAAATTTGTCACATGGCCAATCTCAATCAAGCATAAAAACTAAGTGCTTGACAGATATACACTAGAGGAAAAGAGCCTCAGCTTAACACAGAGACAACTTGAATACCACAAACCCACATATTTTCCTATTCAGTGTTGGCAGAATGGCAACAGGCTGTCTTGGGGTAACTGCATTCTCCCCACCTAAAATTCCCTCCAATCTCCACTGGGAGCTACATCTTTTACTTTCTTATTGGAACTATTTAAAAAATGGCAAGGGTGGTGTGTAAATGAAGGCTCAGACTCTTCCATAATGCCTGTAAGTAGGAGGTTGCTTTAGTCCATATAAGAGGTTGCAAAAACAAAACCAAGAGAAATGCA